TTTTCTTGGCAGCAGCCCTGCTAATGTAAAATTATTACTACTACTGCTTGGTTTGTGTTGTCACTAATGACTCTAATGAGGTTTAGTTTAATTTATTTAAATGTGCCCTTGAGTGTGTCGTGCTGTGTGTATTTTAACTGAACAATCAGGCGAGAGTTTGGTGAGAAACTTGCTGATTATATCCGATTGTGTTTGAATAAATAAATAGATGGTTTCTGCTTCTTCGATAATAATAATGTTGCTATTTGTATTTCAAAGTTTTGAACAGCACTATGTATGCATGTCTTCCTATAAGAGAAATGGGTAAAACCTGTAAAATGAGGTGGCTTCATCAGATGACAATGTAATTTTACCCTCATGTCACAGAGCGGTGGTTCCTATAATGGGCGAGTAATCAAAATGTTGGGGTGCATAAGTTGTAGTCCATCACTAATGTTGAGAATAATTAAAATACTGTCCTATGAAATGTGGAACAGCATTTTACCAGTGGCGCCCCCAGAAGATTTTCATGGGGGCTAGTAAAAATTTTGGGGTGGCACCATTGCAGTTTTTTTCATTAAAAAACAAAAAGCCTAAGCATTATGAATATCCGCCCCAAATGTTGGAAACACAAACATTTCAGAAATAAAACAAATTTTCTAATTTATTTCAGTTATTGTTTTAAATTTTAATGTGCTGGAAACAGTTTAATTTGCCTGTTGCTGTCTCAACAAAACTATCCACAAAACTGTAATGATGAGCCTCAGTGACCTAAAGTGCATATATATGTAAATTGTAATTTGGTAAGTAAATATTTTATTTGAATAAAAAAAAGAGTCATTTCTTGATTAAAGAAGATAAATTACGGTTCAGTTGGGGGTTTCTTTCTGTTAAAGAGGAGTTTTCCTCTCCACTGTCACTACATGCTTGCTTAGTATGGATGAGCCGGATACTCGTTTCAGACGAGTATCCGGTACGTATAAAGCATTTTTGACGAATACGAGCATGACATGAGTAAAACTAGTAAATATCTGTAATCGTGCTGAAGGAAAATCCTCATTGGGTAAATGACTGTCTTCACGCTCTGTGATTGGCCAGTCACATAGAGCGCCCGCCCCTCCTTACACACAAAACTCTCTAGCCGGCCGGGAGCGCAGTCCGTCCGGCTCATCCACGCACACACACAGACAGTAACGGATCTCGCTGTGATTGCTTCACTGTTGCTCACGTTTCTTCAGTTTTCCCTAGGTTTTCTTCAGCTCGCCTCTTTTTCGGTTGAATATTTAAAGTAAATTTTTTCGTAACCTACATGGTGCATTTGACAAGACAGAGTTGACGTGCTGTGTCTCTACCTCCGCTCCGGTCGGATTTTTTTTTTAACTCCCTCTCTCTCCCTCTCTATCTCACACACACACACACACACACACACACACACACACACACACACACACACACACACACACACCTCAATCAACATCGTTTTGTTTAACTTTGTGTGGGAAAATGCCAAGAACGTTAAGAAAAAAATCTGTTTAATCAAATTAAAATTAGAAAATATATATAAAGTTATGTCTGGTTCTAGCATTTCATATTTCCTAGTTCCTACTGCATGAGTTCAGATGTATTAATCCATGCACTTAAATATTAATGTTCTGATTTTATTGAAACACTTGTTTTGTAATAGTTTCTTTACTATTGTGATCAAAAATATTTAATCTCTATTCTGAGGCTGCTCTGTAAATAGTTTTCAAATAAACCACACACATATCAACTTCTGATCAATCCATATCAATTTCAGACTTAAAATAATATATTGATGTAAACCACACCCACTTCCGGTTAAACCACGCCCACTTCTGGGTCATGCCACGCCCATTACGAGTACAGATACAGATACAGATAACTATGTTGGTTGAACAGATACAGATACAGATAGTGGTGTACTCGCTCATCCCTATTGCTTAGTATGAGAATTGCCGTAATAACACCAACGCAACAAGTCAGTGACTTAATGCAATCTTCTACGGTTTCTTACATAGGAAACCTGTAAATAATTTGCATCATGAACTGTACTCAGTGCACTCATAAGTAGTTTCAATTGGAATGTTTACTCTGTGAAGTGTCTTGAGATGACTTTAGTTATGATTTGGTGCTATATAAATAAACTGAATTCAATGTATTTGGTTTGTGTGAACATAAATGTGATTTATTAAGGGTGGTAGGCAGTAGGGTGGGGTTTGGCTGGCCAACACTTTTCCAGAGGTGGCCTTGCCCCGCCTGGCCAACCCTCGGAGACACCACTGGTTACTGGTTATATTGTTCCATAATTTGTTCCCCATTTTCCAACTACATGTGCATGTCTATTTATGCCAGCTAAACAATAGTTTTGTATGATAGTTGAGTTATTGAGTCATGTGTTTTGGACTTAAGGTTTCTATTTTTCCTTTATTTTTTTATCCAGATAAAAAACAAAAGAGTGAAGACTGAAGAAGAATCTCTGGGCTTATCTATCTCAGCAGGCCACTGAGAGTTTGAAGAAACCTGGCTCCTTTATATAAATCTAAATTCCAGGCTACCATCTAAAAACATCCTTACAGCAGTGACTCACTGAACAATGATGGGTTTTGAACCTGTTTTAAAAAAAATCTCGGCTGCAACTTTGCAAAATTTGATACGGTGGAAATGAAGCTCGGCAAATTCTAAATCCATTTATATCACAGTGGGAGGCTTCTTCAGTGAATGTGACAAACTTCACAACCTTACAAAAATCATGTCTGTCATCAACTTGCACCGGAATGAACAAGGATAAAGATTCACACAGGTGCTTCAGCTCAAGTCTGCTCACCGTTCAATGTTTCTGCAAGTTAAAGCCAAAATTTGAAACCGAAAAGGTCAAAGGGAGTTTTATCTTCTTAAATCATGTCAACATAGGTTTCCTACTAAACCCCTCACCTCGTTTGTGATCACTGTGGCTCAGGGGTTTGGTGTGAGTTCACTGAGTGGATGGATCACATTAACATGCAGGTAAAATTATGAGAATGAGAAAAAATATCTGAAAAGTAACAAAATGTCCATAAGAAAAATTAAATAGCTGACAAGGCAGAAACATAAGTCACTCTAGGAACCAGGTAGCCAACAAAACAAGGTATTTTTATACGGTTTGGACTGACATCAGCATTAAAACTGAAGATGTACTATTAAAGATTATTTTAACCAAAGTGGAGATTAGCAGATTCTCCATTGTCAGCATTTCCTTCTGGACGTAAATAAACGGATTTTGTAACATCACTGTCCTGCAAAAAGCTCTGACATCACATGTGCAACTTTTGTTTACATTAGCGTGCTTATTTTAAATTGTACATTTCCCGTATTTGTACATCACCTTCGTGAGTTCCACGTCCCCCACCCCCCAATATGAGGCCAGAACAGTCTCAATAAGAATTAAGTCACACAACGTTTTCCATAAATGCACACGTTCATTCGGAAATCCACATTCTGTGTTTCACAAATATAATTCGGAGGAACACAAATGCACACGCACATTCGGAAATTCACACTCTTTGACTCATAAATATAATGTGAAAAAATAAGTCACGCAACATTTTACACAAATGCACACGCTAATTCTGAAGTTCACACTCTGTGGTTCACAAATATAATTTGTAAGAACACTTGTAATATAAACTCAGATCATACGAATTGCTGAATGTGCATTTACGAACAGCTTCTCATTTGTGAACCTTTCTGCGTTTGTGAGTGAAATCTGTGTGGTGCATTCACGGACAGCTTCTCATTTGTGAACCTTCCTGCATTCGTGAGAGAAATCGGTGTGCTGAATTTTGAGACTCTCCTAGCGTCGCAGGTCAACAAACGTCACCATTGGCTAATGAATCTGTCAATCAAATATATGATTCTGCTAGGGCTGTTCGCTTTCAGCCAATCATATGGCTCCTTATGTTACAGAACAGATCTGCTGTGCGCATAAGTCGGACACAATTTCCTGCATGTGTAGCTCGGGGCTGACGATGGATGAAGATATCGCGTTAGCGTTCACACTTGTTTAATTTTCAATTTTAATTCTGGTGCCTGTTAGCGGCTGAAACACATCCTCACGTGCTTGTGGATATCAAATATCGAATATGAAAACTGTAATAATAAGTAAAGGTTATCAGCTGTAGCTTCAGTGTGCTTATAGGAAACGTGACAAAAGAAAACAAAACACATTTCTCTTTATGGCCTATATAGTTGTCATCATTAACGTTACATGATTTACAGAATACATGTGACCTACTAACATTTCATGTTCTACCACCGGATGTTTGGATCAAAATATGAACCGATCAGATCTTAGATCAGGTGCGAGCCAGGCGTTTCCCGTCATCCCCTAGGTTTTGCAGCCAAGGGAGAACAACTGCAGCGCCTTGCTCCAAAATCTGCGGCCGCCTTGATCTCAAGTGGTTATCGTTGCCTACGTATGCATGATGTCAGAGCAAGTCGGCGTCAAGTCGGACACAAATCTAACCGGTTACATTACATTACCAACGCTCCACCCTATGGGTGGCCTCTTAATAATCTTATTCGGAAAAATTATGCATTTTTACTAAGTGAAAGCAAACCCCGTTAGGGGCAGAGACCTCTTGAAGCTCATATTAAACATTGTCTGCAGAGAAGGTAAGAGAAGCTAGTAAATCATCCGGCCTATTCCATGGGAGTGACTCTGAAAAGGAGCAAAAGCTCCAGCTCTTTATCTTGGCAGGTGTCTCTATTCTCCTGAGTTCAGGCTTTTGGTTACATCAGTTACTTTTCCTTTTAATGAGCTGCATATATTTCTAACACAGCCTTCAGTGACATCAAGAAAAAAAACTTTTAAATTGTAAAAGACATTATTCTTATTCTGAGAACAAATGAACAAACGGTGTGTGGGTATGTGTGTCCAGTTGCAATTTAACACAGACTCAGTAGCATAGAGAATCTTCTCACAACACCTAATCATCCCTTGATCAAAAAACCAGTAGATAGAATCTTGTCATGTTATTCCATTTAATAAGTAGACGGACGGAGGTATAGTACAAGTTTTCAAGTGTAATGAAGATGATCGCAGGGTAACACAGTTCCCCTTAAATGTTGAGCAAAAGTTATGAAACGAGACAAAATTCAAACAATAACACGTAAAAATAAATGGATCTCCTGATAAGTAGGTGCTTCACTTTTAAATGTTTTTATTAGAGCTGGATACACAGGAAGATGTATGTTACTAAACCAACACTAGCAATGATAGAACATCTACATTTTGAAGAATTGTAGCATAGATGAAGTGGACAGCAGCCTTTTCAAATACATTCCTGGTCTAAAATAAATCAGGCTGATAAAGCCTTTAAGGGAATACACAACTATAAATGAATTTAGAAATCTATTTTGGGGTCTATTCTTTAGCATTTCATATTTACAAAGGTTAATCCCTTGAATAACAATATACAGTACATTAACCTTAAAATGGACCACTCCTTCACTTTTTAACTTTCTTCCTTCCTGTCTCATTAATTGTTTTCTTTCTTCCTAACTCCCTACCTTCTCTCTCCTTCCTTCTTCACACATGTAATCATCTAGCCTCAAGTAAGTTCTCAACATACTGGACAGTGTGAAGATATATGTCCACTCCCAAGAGTCTGAATGTTGCAAAGGATTATGTTGTCCTGCAGTTCCAACATTTCATGATCTGAAAGAGGACTGTCCAGTACAGGGACACTGATCCCAGGATGAGGTTCAGTCATGTATCCATTCTCCTCCCATTCAATCTCTGGTACCGGTATACCCTGGAAAAAGAAAGTGTGTATGAGCACTGTGCATAATAAATCTCAAGAAAACACATTTAATAAAGCCCTATCACGACCTTTTAACAATTACTTAACATCAATGATGTCAGGCAGAACCTAGCATCTCCATTATTTCATAAATTATTATTTTTTTAATTAATGGGCTACTTTTATTTTAAAATAGCAGTGAGAATATCACATCTGGAAGGTCTAATGCCTTGCATTTTGAACTTGCAGATGTGTCATGACTTTGTAATGTCATGACACTATAGTTGACAGTGTCCACTTCAGTAGAGGTGCACACAAACAGAACTGTAATTTCAACAGCCATTTTGTCTTGAATCCAAGAAGCATAGTGCAGAGGTAGATTATCAAAGTGTTGAACATTTGATTTTTAGTTAAGCATCAACTTGACATGTGATCAGTCGTTTTAACAGAACATACATTTGCCCCTGGATCAGAAACAGGATTCAGAGCCTGGCCCAGATGCCACAGCTGATTTGGTGTCATGTTTTCCTCTGTCCTGATTGGATGGTTGTCCCACGCATCTCTAAAGACATCCAGGCTGGCCTGGATGCGAGACAATATAGTGGCAACAAAACAGGTGAAGGATGTTACTGATGTCGAGCAAGTCTTGGTCTTCCAGAGAGTGCAGGATGTTGTAATATAAACCAGTAACACTCATGAAGACATCACGCCAGAGGCACTCGATCCTGGATTTGGAGGGGGATTAAATAAAAGAAAATTATAATATACACACACATTTACATGTCCATACATCCGTTTTCAACTTGAGTTATCTTTTGAATGGTCGCAGGGGGACTGGTGCCTATCTTCAGCAGTCACAGTGTGAGACGAAGGGTGCACCCTGGGCAGGTCAACAGGCACAGGCATGCGCGCACAGACACAAAGCTTCCAAATTAGGTTAAACTCACCGTTGATTGTGTACACTTTTTCCTGCAATGAAGCTGTTGGTGTCAGTTCCACGAACTGAGAACATTAATTCTGCAACACCTACGTTTTCTCCGCCATGATCTCCTCTCACCATGAAAAAAAAACATTAGAATCTTGCTTCAAACATTTTTAATGCACATCTATAACAATCTACATCAATTTCAGTCTCACAGAAATTTCCTTATGTACCTTGCTACTAAGTGAGTAAACAATGTGGCATTATTAACCCTCTGCTGGGGAAATTTTTTTTGAAAGAGGGAAATGTTCACCCCCCCCCCAATAGATTTTACTATATGACCTCAAATGGCATGTTATCTTTGGTCAATAACACACTTTAGGCAAAAGCAGATTTGTAACAGGGTAACAGAGGGTAAAGTTGGGAATAACATGAATACCTCAGAGGAAAGCCATGCTCATTCACAGCTTCAATGAAGAAGGCAAGGTGGGTGTCTGCCCGGTTGTTGTCAGCTACCTTCAGGTACATGATCTATGTAATTCAAGCACAAACACTCTCATATGACACATTTTTATAGGGGCCAAAACAATCAATTACCAAATGAAAGGTACAACAGCCATACAATAACATGTTAGATAATTAAATAAGTTAAGATCTGTGAAAACCAAAAATAGCAATTATCTTCTATGAAAATATCTCAGTTATTAACGTTCATGCTTTGGAGCAGAAAAAGTGCATGACAATTAAATGTTTCAAGCTCAGTTCGCTCCACTCTGATGGTCACCTGTTCCAGCCAGATACCTTCTTTCTAGGCTTTCAAAGTCGGAAACTCGCTGAGTAAACTGGGTGCTTAGAGGAGTATCTTCAGTTGTTTAAGACTGAGGGTAACGCTGCACACACTGATTCTACTAGCATGGATGCTAATGATCGTAAACATAAAAGAGGGCTTGCTTCGTCTCGCGCGCTAACGCCGCAAAGCACTATGGGATTAGTAGTCTTATCAGCAAAATCGCCCGGCGGGCCAGTTTAATATTATATATTTGATATTTGATTTCGGGGGGCAAATAAAAATAGACCAAGGGCTTGAGTTTGACAACCGTGGCCTAAAAAAAATGGTACCTAGACACGCTAACTAAACAAATGTTCACTTGAGTTTAGCTTGATGTTAAACTAGATGAAGAATGGACCAGACTTCACGTAACGTCTGGACTGAATTTAACATAAAACATTTTACTTGACCATGAAGAACGCTTCTACTCATAATTCTATAACATTGCATGAATTACAATGAGGGAATAAGATAAAACTATTACTCACAGATTGTGACCGGTCCATCCCGCTCTGCCGTGTGAACTGCAATGCGCATGCGCACAGCAGAGCCATATGATTGGCTGAAAGCGAACCTGGCAGAAGCATATATTTGATTGACAGGTTCATTAGCCAATGGTGACGTTTGTTGACCTGCGACGCTAGGAGAGTCTCAAAATTCAGCACACCGATTTCTCTCACGAATGCAGGAAGGTTCACAAATGAGAAGCTGTCCGTGAATGCACCACACAGATTTCACTCACAAACGCAGAAAGGTTCACAAATGAGAAGCTGTTCGTAAATGCACATTCAGCAATTCGTATGATCTGAGTTTATATTACAAGTGTTCTTACAAATTATATTTGTGAACCACAGAGTGTGAACTTCAGAATTAGCGTGTGCATTTGTGTAAAATGTTGCGTGACTTATTTTTTCACATTATATTTATGAGTCAAAGAGTGTGAATTTCCGAATGTGCGTGTGCATTTGTGTTCCTCCGAATTATATTTGTGAAACACAGAATGTGGATTTCCGAATGAACGTGTGCATTTGTGGAAAACGTTGTGTGACTTAATTCTTATTGAGACTGTTCTGGCCTCATACCCCAAAGTCTCGTTACAACACAATCGGTCATTCACCCACACTCACAAACATTCACATGCTGTTGGAAATAATCTACAATGGCCACAGCTGCCCTAAGGCACCGACGGTCCCTCTGACCACCAACTGCAGGAAATCCGGATCAAGTGTCTTGCCCAAGGACATAGCAACTGCAACACACTGACTGTGACTGAGAATGTTTGTTTGAATGTTTTGTCTTCATGGAATGTAAACAAGCAATGCAGAACTTTCTGGGTTTGAAAGGCCAAATAGAAAGTGGATGTATTTCTGTAGATGAAAAGTCACTATGTTGGTCAATGTGGATGGTGAAAATTGACCCTTTTGGACGTTACAACACTTAAGACTTTTATTCACGAAGGTAGAGAATTTGAGATCAAACAGCTACTCATTGGAAGGTTTGTACTAGAGTCTCTTCTTTTATGGTGAAATTTACATTTAAACATTCCCAACTGAGTGAACTCAAAGAAAGGATTTGTTCATTTGAGGAGTTGTGCTACAAATGGCTGATTGCCAAACAGTTGAAGACTGCAGCTATTTAAAAAATGTAAGGATTTAAATGAGTAAAATCTGAATCTATGCTGAAGAAAATGACCATACCTAGCAGACACAGTACAAAGTTTTTGTAAAGGAGAAACAATTATAATCTGCTAATTAGTTGGGCTTTAAAATTGAAATCACATTTATACCACTTGGAGCTTTCGTTCAAAGCACCAAGCTTTCTCCCCGACTCCAGTCCTTCCACCTTGCTCTGTATCTAAACACTGAGTGTTTTAAAATAGGAAAAAAAAGTATTCTTAAAAAGAATGTGTTAAATTGCCTTTGATAGTGTTGAGGACTCATGTGGCATTCCAACTGAGCTTCCAAATGAATGCACACAAATGTGTCCATTATAAACACATTTAGAATATTGCAGAGCGCCAGGTAAGTTCATTAAACAGCAGCAGCACAGTATCTGTTTGTCAGACTCAGTGAAGTATGAGGCTGTCATACTGTTTGTGCAGCTGATTTACTGGCATACTTACAATAATACACATTAGATGACCTTTTCATGGATACCCGTCATGCAGCAGTTTGGTATATGCTCCTTTGCCTTTTTAAATACATTCTTCGTAAAAGTAAACATTTAGCAAAATCTCGTCACTGGCTGAGAAATGTATTTTTGAAATCATTATATGTTTACAATGTCTCCCTCTTTATGCAAATCTGTTTTTCAGTTAACCCGTGACATACTGTTGCTGCCAGAAACTTGGCTGTTTTCTTTAAATCTATTCATGACCTAGTCTCTATGTTACCATGTTGTTGATCCGTTTGAGCAGATATCTTATCGTAAAGATTAGTATCTGCATTAACAAAGATATTTATGGCTGCATGCATAGTTTATTTTGATATGATTAGAAAAATATATATATTTTTGCTTAGAATGACTCTCAAATGAGCATCGTGCTGCAAAATAGCATTTGCAGCTGTTTAATTTGATTGTTTGTTGATAATTAAATGCAAAGGCCAAAGACTTTGTAAAAAGTACATCCATGTGAAGTCATTTTTGAGTATTCTATTAGTGCAGTAAACATATTTTTTGCAAGTAAGACTGTATTTGTGTCCATAAAGGACCAGCAGACAGAACTGTTATTCATGTGTCTAGTGTTTTTTGAAATCGCTGTCATTTATCAGCCTGAAGAAGCTGTCAAACTCAATCTGCTTTGGTATTTCTCAAAACCACAAGGTATGGTCCACACATCTCCACCAAAACAGGATCACACTTCAACCTGCAAAGTCTGCTAATAGTTAATGTGTTTTATAATTTATGCTCATGTTCAGGAGGGCTGAGTTCTTCTGGTTATGCAGTCGTAAATTTTGACTCTAAAGAAATGTGTGTTGGCTAAATGCTCATCATTGCGTGTCACAATGCTCTTTGTGTAGCTGCTTAATGTGAATTGATGCACATATGTTCACCTATAATATGTTTTCAGTTGCTTAAGGCTGGGGTTTAAAATCAAGGTTCTTATTATAAGCAGCATTGTTGCTCTGAATATTGTGTTTCATAGAGAAACCTAAAAAAATACAGTCTGTTTTTTTCAGAGTTTAATTCCATTACTATTTAAAAATGAAACTACTCTATTTATCACTAAGTAATATTTAAAATGGCAGCTATCGAATAAGCTGCATAAACTTTATAAACCATTTTTGAAAGTGTATTGTGTAAACATGAAGTAACAATGACATTCTGTCGTCAAATTTGGTTACTGCTGCCCACAAAAATTTAAACAAGTACTCACTACCGTTCTGTGAGTTTCATGGCTGTTACCAGTTACGGCTCAGCGCAAGATTCTAGATTACAGCGAAAACGGTGTCATACACAGTAGGTTGATAAGAAGGTGTAACATCAAGTTGTTGATAAGGGAACAATAGAAATTTTTAGAGCTGACTGTTTTTCTAATTCACTGTTAGCATAGTTAGCTCAATTTTAGCTCAACATTAGCCGTCAGCCTTCTTTATTCAATAGTAGAGTAAGACAAAGAGATGTTGCAGGGAAGAAGAACTAACTTCTGGGTTGCTCATGTTTACTGCCTTTGGTTCTTTACAAAACACTGCTGTGTTTTGCCAACTGCTGTCTAATTACAAATGCTGACCCAGCAGCGTTAGCTGATGCAAACTTAGCAACCCTGTGGGTTACAGATTGTAAACAGTGACTTCATGCCTCTTTGGCCATTTTGAAAAACTAAATACTGGCAACCCTCCAGCTGGAAATGTTTCAAAGTAACCTTCCTTCCAACATTATTCAGACAGTTTTATAATTAGTTCACTGTACAATTCTTACATATTGTACCTTTAAGTAGTCAAAATGCAATAAATTCAAAGAACTGTGATCATTTTCTTTCCAAATAGTGTACGTCCTTCAGCGTATGAATATGAACTTATAAATGCTTAGTAATGCTTCTTAAGGTGTTTATAATGAGTTGCTTTGCTAAGTATTAATAAAGTTGTAAGATTTTTTGTAAGAATACAAAGACACAGTCTCATTCAAAATGATGGAATCTGTTGCTGACTGACACACACATGCAATTTTAGAATAAACTACAACAAATATTACAAATATATATTCTGATGTTTCCTTGCAGGTATCAGCACAATTCCAAAGCATCTACACCATTATAATACTAGAAATATAGCCAAACAGTAGATAAATATTTTGCTTTGCTGGTTGTCTCGGCTCCGTTATAGCCTCAACAGAGCTGCCATTGGTTCAGCAAAGTTTGGTCCTGGCCAAAGGGCAAAGATGGTGGTGGGTCAGGAATGGCTATCTTTTACTTTTATTCGGCATCAATTTTGAATGATTTAGACTTGGGGGTTTCTTTCAGTCATGAGAAAATAGAAGTACTTATTTGTCTTTAACAGCATACAGCTGACCACTGTTGACTGATTTCCACAGTAATGATGTTGTTCAGTGCTCTGATTGGTCCTAGCACTATCCAGAGACAGTTTGAAAGACAACTGTAGATTCTGCCTATTTATCTGAGCTCTGTCTGTGGGTCTTATTACCACTATTGACATTTATACGATGTCATTCCAGGCTACAAATGACCCTCAAAATGCTTTATATACACAATAAATCCAAGTATCTGAGTTGTGAAGCTATTGGTATAAAATGCCTGTGATGATTTAGATCTCATATGTTTGACAATTTACACTAATTCCCTCCTTTTTTCAATTTATCACATGCTGTCTTCTTCATTAGCTCACTTGCCTTAGAAAGGCAACTACTTACGCTGATGTCACGAGCAAAATTATTCCAAATAATTTTGGATGTGTAGAATTGAGCATGAAAATTTTAAATAAATGCAAACTTTGTAGCTACATAAACGAACCAAATTTTGACCATACTGAATATATATTAAAGACACACAAATGAGTGTGAACACAAAGTGTTGGTGCCTAAACACTTTTTTTCTTATAGGCACTTGAGTTGGCTGTCGTGTACAATAAGAGCTGCTGATAAAGGTCCATGGGCGCTACAAATCATGAGCTCGCTGACAATCTATGCTCTACAGTGCCGTGTCCGTGTTTGCTGTCGATACGCATCTGCCTTCAACGTGTAAGATGACAGAAAATGTCAAAGTACTGCAACAAGGACAATGTGGCACATTTTTGTCTCAGTGGCTCAGGCAATGTTTTGTTAAAGAAGACTCAGAGTATAATTAGTACTATACTTTCAACCAGATTCAGTCAGATGCAGTAGGATATGCTGTTTTTATTCCATGGGGAATTTTATACATATGTATTAAACACATTATAGACAAATAGCAAAATAAGAGAAACATTCAGCTATTTATATGACTGTTTTAGGTCTCATTTTACATTTTACAATTGATGTGATTAGCCCTTTTTAAAAGACTCACCATGATGGCAAATCAATGTAATGCTGCTGCCACGTTGT